TAGTAAAAGTAAAAGGACCCTTTTCCACGCCTGTCAGACATATTGGGTATATAGGGCTAGACCTATGTTTTATAGACCAAACAGCACTTCTTAGGTGATGTCAGCATTGCACCCCAGCTGCCTTTACTTCCCAGGATGGTACCTGCTCAAGGCTGGGTCGACCTGGAAGCCAAGGTCATTCTGGACAAAAGTCAAGGACTTGAACCCACGACCTTTTGATCTGCATGTGAGCATCTAGCCGCTAGACCGCAGTGGCCCCCCTACGAATTTGTCAGTGACCTCTGTAAAATGTTCCGGTTTTGGGCAGATTTTTTTTTCTGGAATTCTAACGAGGTCATGGTCTTTTTTTTTTTAGTGTTCCCAGGGTAGAAGAGTTCATTGTGGAAACAGACTTTCGCTTTTGTACAAAACATTTAACAATACCTAATTCTAGTCGGGCTTTCAGATTTGGAAGACTATAATCATTACAAGTTAGTCAGTAGAGTTTCTATGCCCTGTGAAATATCTCCTGTCAAATATAAACATGGTGTGTCTCAATGTTGAGAAAAATCTGTGAATAACTTAAGTTCTGAGGTCCTAATTGAATAATACAAGATTGTATTTTCTCTCTAGATTACCAGCTTCAGTTGTGTTCATCTCCTTGACTTCAAATAACACAACTGTTTATAGGTTTTTTTTGGCTTATGTTAAAATTGGAGTTAGTTTTTGCTGTAAAACTGAGAGGTATATTTACATATTTCAAAAAAATGTAATAATTTTTTTTTTTTTTTTTGAGATTGAAAGATATTTTGAGCCAACTGTTTAATGTATAATGAAAATGCTGTAATTACTGTAATATTAAGTTATTTGTTTACAGTGACATTGTTTATATTGTAATGAATTTATGAACAGTCTGGTTTTTCATGCTAGTAGTAATTATAATAGTGTGATGCCTACAGATTGTTGTGTGGTTTTAAAGGATATCTTTTTCTGGCTTTTCTAATTATATAACTAGGAGTATTACAGTTTTTATTATTATTATTATTATTATTATTATTATGTCCTTGGCTAGGTTTGGCTACTGAAGAAATGTAATTACCAAAAGATTTATATGTGGTCATTTAAAATTTATGGTTGTATGTACAACTTTGAATCTCTGTTAACGAGGTAAAAAATGGAAAATGCAATCGTACGGACATGTAATAAGATCTATCATCCTCTCGGTACAAGGGAAGATGAGAAGAGACAGGCCAAGAAAAACTTGAATACAAAATTAGGCTTAGTTAATAAGGCCTCAAATATGAAAACCTTAAGTCCAGGTCATCAGAGATGGGAGATACGTTTGATCGATCGATTGATCATTATTCCCCCTCGAGAATTGCTGTCTATAGAATTAACACTTCATGGATGAGAATAAAACCGAAGAAACTCCCCAAAAGCACCATTCAGCAGTATAAAACAGGTATATCAGAGCACCTGTAAGCTTCAGATGTAACCTGCAGTTTAATGTAAGGGGTGAGATGCTTTCCAGGTGGGGTGGATCTAATCTGACAGTCAGCAGCGAATGGTGGCCCAATGGCACGCTGTGTTATGGAACTCTTGATAATAATTTATGATTGAATAATTACAGAGCTTTTTTTTTAAAGTGATTTGTATATCAGAGTGTTGAAAATTATACTTAAGTGTAGATAAAACATAAATGCTAATGTTTGTTTTTGCAGTTGAGTGCAGTGTTTTATATAATCAGTGCATAATATTACACAGCTATCTCTCTTCAGGTGTCAAGCTTTGCTGAGTCTGTGTAGATAGAAAACAATAGGTTGTTTTAATTATTCTGCTTTTATATTTTTCTGAATGTTAGGTGATCTAACTTTTATAAAGAACACAAAATATGCCAGTGTTTCTTCAGCTTGGATGATCTGTTTTCTGTTGCAGTGCTTAGTTTGTGCTGTTGACTCTATCCAGTTTATTCATTGTTTCCCTCTTCTTTTGTCCTTCAGCTCTTTCAGGACCAAGCAGTCATTAAATAAACTTCTCATATCTCAGTGAGGTGAGTTTAAAAGCAAACATGATGAAGTCTGAATGAGTTCAGTAAAGAAACTATGGGGCAGAAGTATTGATACTTTAAAAAAATAATACACTGGGTAATTACATCATCCAGGGCTTTTTCTTTCGAGAGAATAAAAGTGTCTAAAAAAAGTTCCGGTGCTCACAACAAATTGTCTAAAAAGCTGAGTGAAAGACACGGGGAAGACCAAGAAAGAGATACATAAATGATGTAGCTGAAACCTGCAAAAAGTTTAATAATTCCGCCACCCAAGAAGCGCTAGACAAATACAGAAAACCCCAGACACTGGGCTACAACCTAGTATCAGTGAAACGACTAAAGAAGAGGGGTGCTGTTCACGTTTCCAGGCTCAGGATTAGAGTAACTTCCCTTGCCATTCATGCCTCCCCTTTTTTTTTTTTTTTTTAGTAATTGTCTTTTTTTTCACACTTTACAGATCCTCTGTATGTGATTGTTTTTGTTTCCATTAAATATAAACTATTTGTTGTATATCCACATTTCTAGGGGCTCAGTTTGATTTTCTGGTTTCCTGTTCATAATGATTTAATAGCAATCAAAGAATCATATAGTTTGGTTACCTGGTCAGAATGTGCTTTATGAGACCAGCAGGCTGCAAGACAAAAGGCCGACCAAGAGATGAGTGGAGGGAGTAAAAGAGGCACTACAGAAATGCAATATTGACATTAACCCAGGCTACAAAACTTGCAAAAGACAGGAAACTAGATGTAACTCCTTTCTGTGACATTTTGAAGCATAAGCTGTTGGACACGGGGGAAAAAAAACTGCTGGTAATGCAAGGCATCTAGTATATATATATATATATATATATATATATATATATATGATATATATATATATATATATATATTATATATATAATATATATATATATCCTGTATGATTCTATGATTTAAGACATATAATGAAAAAGTTACATATGATCACTGCAGCCTTCATAGCTCGGTTGGTGAATACTACTGTTAAAATCTGTTGATGACTGTTTGTGTTGGCATCTCTAGCAGCAGCCTTATGAATTTCATGTGTGTGCATGTTTCTGAAATTCGCCAGGTTCACTAGTTTTCACATAGGACAGTGAGAGACATTTTTCTGCTGGCACCGGACATTAGTCTTGTTCCAGAACCTGAGTGTTGCATGCAAATTCACTTCACAGATCTGGCTTATTTGTGTGCAGACTCTTGGTTCCTTGCCTCTCATGCAAATGTACTCCGACTTCAAAGAAAGCTCCCAATTAGTTGACTCTTTTCATATGCTTTTGGGTAGGCAGTAGGTCTATTCTTGTTTTCCCCCACAATGGGACCTTGGACCCCTTTATGTCTTTTTATATCTCAAGAGAAAAGCATTTTAATGTAAATAAATTCATTTTTTTTTTAATTAATTAGTGACCTGTGTAATTTGGTTGTTGACTGCAGTTCCCACATGTTCCCCCCAACCCCTCCTTTTTTTAAGCATTTGCAGGGCAAAAGGGTTAACAGGACGGGTGAAATATTATTTTATGGATTGCAGCTAGCCTGCTTTTGTTTTCCTTCCAAAATTGGAACCCAGCACGCACATTTTGAAGTTTACAGTTTGAACAACTGATCAACATTATGGCACACGGGTAGTAGCCCATAAATGCTCCATTCTTCTTCTAACTCAAGTCTTGAGTCCTAAGAAGCTCAGCACAGTGCACAGGCTCTGTAGCACTGGCGAGAATCCTGAAATACTTTAAATAGATTTTTTACTCCCAATTTTGCTTGGGCAGCACCGTTAGGCTACTCTTTTTGATTTCCAACTGCCAAGGGATTTTGTTTGTACGCGATAATGCACACGGGCGTCCGATCTCACTACCCAGATACCAGGGTGAATTACTAGAAGTCTTAAGTCAGCACGCACATTTACATTGTTTGACTGATTTCTGCATTATGATCAAGTTCCTTCCAGCCCAGTACTGCAGGTTTTACGGGGCTGGCATTGCCATTACGAGTGCCCTAATTATAACTTCTGTGAAGGTTGAACGGGATATCTGTACTTGCCCCGTTGGTCTGTCATCAGATCAGCACTGAAGTTCTTTAGTCTCTCAGGTATCCAACCTTCAGTTCCTGTTGCTCTGCCAGTAGATCAGCACTGAGGTTCTTTAGTCTCACTGTATCCAACCTTCAGTTCCTGTCTGTCTGCCGTCAGATCAGCACTGAGGTTCTTTAGTCCCACAGTATCCAACCTTTAGTTCCTGTTGCTCTGCCAGTAGATCAGCACTGAGGTTCTTTAGTCTCACTGTATCCAACCTTCAGTTCCTGTCTGTCTGCCGTCAGATCAGCACTGAGGTTCTTTAGTCCCACAGTATCCAAACTTTAGTTCCTATTGGTCTGCCAATAGATCAGCACTGAGGTTCTTTAGTCTCACTGTATCCAACCTTCAGTTCCTGTTGGTCTGCCAATAGATCAGCACTGAGGTTCTTTAGTCTCACTGTATCCAACCTTCAGTTCCTGTCTGTCTGCCGTCAGATCAGCACTGAGGTTCTTTAGTCTCACTGTATCCAACCTTTAGTTCCTGTCATATCAGCACTGAGGTTCTTTAGTCCCACAGTATCCAACCTTCAGTTCCCTTTGGTCTTCTAGCAGATCAGCACTGACGTTCTTTAGTCTCACTGTATCCAACCTTCAGTTCCCTTTGGTCTTCTAGCAGATCAGCACTGAGGTTCTTTAGTCTCACGGTATCCAACCTTCAGTTCCTGTTCGTCTGCCATCCAGATAGAGATCTTCTGATCTCAGATGACAGACTTTTCAGCTTGCAGCTGGAAAAGATAAACGCACATTATTATAATTTTGGAAAGTAACAGTATTACTTCAACTATGTCACTTTTATAAATAATAACAGTATTACTTCAACTATGTCACTGTTATAAATAATAATCAAAGCAGCTTTCATCAGCATTTACTTTTGAAATTCTCACGAGTCATAAGAACCAAGAATGTATGATTGCTTTATCTATCTTTATGCTTGTCTGCTCAGCAGTACTTTGTATATCTTGACGTATTTTCTTTTCAGGAATATACTGTAAATCAGGCAGGTCAAATATGCAGTCTTTTGCAAGCACACCTGCAGCCCTTGGCAAGCAGACATGCGGCCCTTTGCAAGCACATCTGCGGCCCTTTGCAAGCAGACATGCGGCCCTTTGCAAGCACACCTGCAGCCCTTGGAAAGCAGACATGTGGCCCTTTGAAATCACACCTGCTGCCCTTGGCAAGCACACCTGCAGCCCTTGGCAAGCAGACATGCGGCCCTTGGCAAGCAGACATGCGGCCCTTGGCAAGCAGACATGCGGCCCTTGGCAAGCAGAAATGCGGCCCTTGGCAAGCAGACATGCGGCCCTTGGCAAGCAGACATGCGGCCCTTGGCAAGCAGACATGCGGCCCTTGGCAAGCAGACATGCGGCCCTTGGCAAGCAGACATGCGGCCCTTGGCAAGCAGACATGCGGCCCTTGGCAAGCAGACATGCGGCCCTTGGCAAGCACACCTGCAGCCCTTGGCAAGCACACCTGCAGCCCGCAATGAAAAAATATTTACCAATCACTTTTATTGAATGACTTCAAAAATGGCAACATAAATATGACCCTTATGGCCCTCGGAAAACCCTGTTTGACCTGCCTGCTGTAAATCTCTGTGTAGTTTCTGCCTTGATTAATACTGTATATCCTGGTGCAGTTTCTGCCTTGATATACACAGTATATTTTGGTGTAGTTTCTGCCTATTATACGCTGCTATATCTTGATGTATGTCCCACCTAGATATCAAGCGCCACGACGGATTAGACAAAATATCACAGAGGCTATGGTACCAGGAAGGAGGGGCAGGGGCTGACTAATATGAAGATGGGCACAGGATATAAGTGACTCCTTGAGTATGAAAGTGCATGAGGCTGGAGAGCTGGCGAGAGACCTAGTTTCTTTCAGGCACACCGTGATGAGAGCGACATTCTGCAAAGGTCCTGTACATGATGATGATATACGCTGCTTATCTTGATGTATTTTCCACCTAGATATACACTGTATATCTTGGTGTATTTTCACCTAGATATACACTGTATATCTTGGTGTATTTTTCACCTAGATATACACTGTATATCTTGGTGTATTTTCCACCTAGATATACACTGTATTTCTTGAAGTATCTTCTGTCTAGATATACTTTGTACATCTTGTGTCCTTTTCTTCTATGATTTTCACTGGATATCTTGATGTATTTTTATGCTTTTAATACACTGTATATCTTAATGCATGTTCTGTTTTGATATACACTGCAAATTTTGCTGTATATTTTCATTGATTTATACTTGCCGTCTTTATATATTGTCTGCTTAACTTTTATGTGTAGATGCTAAAAGTTATTTTATTTATTGATGCTCCATTGGTCCAGTTTAAAAAAAAAATAAAAAAACATTTACTTAAAATGCATAGGTGCAAACAAAGCATATGGGGAAAGGAAGTGAGAAGAATGTTAATTTCTCGTCTCAGTGCCCTAAACTGGCAGAAGTGTGGCTATAACTTGTGTCTCTGTTTTCCTCTTTAAATCTAAATATAATGTTTTCTCTTTGGGTATATCTATGTCCACAAATAGAGTGAGCATTTTCTTGTGTGTCTATGTAGATATTGCAGTTTTTGCACATGTGATATGAACTTATGATTACATTTTGTTTGTGTTCTTCTTTATTTAGTTGTGTTTTTTTTTTTTTTTTATCAATAAAACTGGTAGATTTGTTTGGCCTCAGAACTGTATTGCTGCAAAAATAAACTAGTGCCTGATTAGCACTTACAAAAGAGAAACTGTGTCTTTAAATTCCTTCATTGTGCGTTATTTAGTGCAGATCTGGTGTTGTTAACTGTTGCCTGATTTTATTTCCATTTTCAGTACAATTTATTGCATTTTGTGTGTGTTATGTTTTAAAAAGTGATGTCAACTCACATTTATTCCCATTCATGCTCAGTCCTCTGATGCAGCAGCTATCCCAAGGTACCACTACTGATTGTTCCCATGAGAATTTGGTTATAATATCTCCTATCTTGACCTTGAAGACAGCATAGATGCTCTTCAGTCGGATTTGTTCTTGGGTCGTGTAAGCGTATTAGCATCAGGGACTATACAGTCTATATAGTATTGAGGGTGTCAGTCCATGTACCCCCCACTGCCCTCCGCGCATGTAGTGGTGCATTACTTGCCAGAATTTTTGTGTTTTCTGTTTATCACTTTCTGGGTTAGTTCGACGTTAGTCTCCCCAAATAGAATAGGTCACTTTTCATTCACAAGTTTGTTGGACTGGTCAATTTTCCTGAAAAGTTACGGGTGTGTCCCACTCTGTTGTTTGGTTTCTGCAATGTCTTGCATTTAGGTTTTCATTCCGAGAAAGAGAATGCCTGTAACATAGGTTGCAGCACTCTCTAGGGGAGTTGTGTTGGACACGGTTTCTCCATGCTCTTGGAGTGTTAAAAGTGCTGGCGTGCTGAAATATACAACACGCGATATCAACGGTTTTGCGGAACACCCCCGTAACCTTGTGCGAAGGTCACGGCTTACAGGAACTACCAATCAGAAGTGAGTGAGCTAGTGTGAATATGGGGGGGGGGGGTCTGGGGAGACTAACGTCGAACTAACCACTTTCTGCCTCTTTGCCCTCTCCTTATATGTTATTTTGTGCCTTTCTGGATGACACATCCGAATTCAGTGGGTATTTGTTTAGTTAGCCTTCCTACTGGTTTCTTCGGACATGGGTCAGGGGTTATGTTATGTACGCAGATGGGAAACATTATTCTCAGCACGTTGGACACCTTTAACATTAGTGGTTAGTGATTAGAAAGGATTATCGTCACAGCATTCCGTACAGATCCATAGGTGCTCCGATCTCCTCCTCAAATCTTCACAAGTGTAAAACTACTGATGACGCATGTTCTGTGTTGGTTAATGAAACGTCTTGTCCCCTTAGTAAAGTGTTCATTTTTTGCAGCTCCAGGCTGCACCCCCATGTCCATCAGTCTAAACAGGGATACGAAGTCATATCCGTTGGCGTGCTCCTCGGTACGGTTAGTGCAGCGTATGGCATATCCGACTTCAGTGGACATTTGTTTAGTTAGCCTTCCTACTGGTTTCTTTGGACATGTGTGGCGCGTCCTCTTGTTCACTTTGTCTACAGATATTGCAACTAGAAAACCCATTCAGGGAAGCCACGTGCAGACGGGTAGGCTCTCAGAGGAAGGCAGGTACAGAACCTGGGCATTTCTCTCCATCCGACCCACCATTACTCCCACCATTCAATAAAAGCAGAGCTGACACGAGACACTCAAGTCCTGAGCTAACCTAAGGAATTGTCACATCCTGCACATGACAGCTTAACCTCACTAATATGCTGCGCTTCATTATGGGCTGCTCCTCAAAGATCAACAGGAAGCAGCCCACAGATCAGAGACTTTGATGACCATACAGATGGTATTGTCTTTATTCTTATACGGATGTGAGAGTTGGACTCTCACTGTGGAAATGGAAAGGAGAATTCAAGCTTTTGAAAGCCAATGTTACAGACGCATTTTACTTATTAGTTAGTTTAGAACACAAAACTAACATAGACAAAATATACAAATTTGCAGGACATCAGGAGCATCTCTTGACAGTGGTGAAACATCGCAAGCTAGCTTGGTTCGGGCATGGGGTCAGTCATGATTCGATTGTAAAGACTACTTTAAGGAACATTAAAGGGTAGTCGAAGAAGAGGAGGGCAAAGAAGAAACTAGAATGACAAAATCGACAAATGGGCAGGACTAAGTTATCATACACTTATTCATCAAGCGGAAGACAGAGAAAGATGACGGGTTTTGTGCGCTAGTGCTTCCATCGATACACCTCCACGGCCCCAATGGGTCAGGGGTTATGTTATGTTATGTACGCAGATGGGAAACATCATTCTCAGCACGTTGGACACCTTTAACATTAGTGGTTAGTGATTAGAAAGGATTATCGTCACAGCATTCCGTACAGATCCTCCTCAAATCTACACAAGTGTAAAACTGCTGATGACCCATGTCCATCAGTCTAAACAGGGATACGGAGTCATATCCGTTGGCGTGCTCCTCGGTACGGTTAGTGCAGCGCATGGCATTGATAACATCACTTCTGTCCAGTACTGGACCAGCCATAGCAACCACAGTGTCAGCAAGATAGTCTGCACGCTCTTTCCCTTGAACACCCGCATGACCTGGCACAAAGATGAAGGTTAAGGCAGCTATTCGTGAAGTGCTTAGTGTTGCAATCCATTCTTGCCTGATAAATCCAGTTTGGATTTTTAAACATATTCATCGAGTCACTAAGAATGCATACGTGTGTGAACTGTTGAGTACCAAGCCATGCTAATGCCCCTGTTACCGCCATAGTTTCTATTGTAACGCTACTAGTTGTAACAGCAAAGGCGAAATTCATCTCCTTGACGGTTTTTCCTCATTAAGCTTACTGTGAATGCCCTTGCACTTCGATTGCCCCGAATTACTGACCCATATTTGTACACTATCGCATCACCTTCATAAGTGTTTTCGTCAATCAGTGTTCTAACTAAAGTGTCAACAGTGAAATGAATCTTCTCTCTACAGCTTCCATCATAGTTGCTTCAAGGTACTTAGCACGGCATACAGGAAAGGCATGTATCAGGCATGGCTGCAGCGGACATTTCAACCTTTCACACAGCACAATTATTGGTTGAATGTGGGAAACCTTGTTTGTCACATATCCTAACTGATGTCATCCTTTTTGTTCGAAATACGTGGTTTTTTTTTTTTTTTATTGGAATCCTTCCTAACACAGGGTTTGCAGATATGATGTCTAGCTTCCTCTGATAAAGGGAGCACCTTCTGAGATGAAGCCACAAACAATCACAACAGAGATACTGAAAAAAAGGGGATTGTAGAAATGGAGAATTCGAAAAGAAAGCCTACAAAAGAATATTAAACTGGGAACAAATCGTTGGTTGAGAAAATAAATGATTGCTTACAAATGAAAGGATTTACTTTATTTGCACCAGGAATTATCTTTTCTGATTTAAGTTCTTCCCCCTCTCCCCTTTTTCTTTTCTCTCTCTCTCTCTCTCTCTCTCTTCGCAGATGAGCTAGCTGCCTGCTAATAGGGTGATACAAGAATAGACCTACAGCCGCCACAACTTGCATGTCGTAAGAGTCAACTAATTTAGGGCTTCCTTTGAAGTCGGAGTGCATCTACCCGAGAGGCTAAGCAGCCAAGTCTGTATAGAGATATATCAGATTTGTGAAAAGGATGTGCACGCAACTCTGAAGTTCTGGAAGAAGACTAAAGTCCAGAAGTGGTCGAGCAACCAGAACTTTAAGCCAGAATTACAGCCGGTGAACGTGAAGAAGAACCACCCCCCCACCACCACCACTTTTTTTTTGGTTGCACAAGAAACGTGAGCCTCTCCATGTTTCAGCGCCATCGGCATTCGTGTAATCATTAAACAAAAACTGACACATAGACGCTTTACACACTGCATCACGATAGACACAACATATCCTCATTAGTTGTTAACGTGCTGTCCATTTCTCCAAGGTTGTTCTTGATGCATTCGCCTCTCTTTTGTGTGATCTCTCTCTTGCTTTGATATAACTTGAACGTGGCTCTTTGAGGCAGTTCGTTCAAAGGCTTTCTGGTGTTCACAAAAAATTCTTTGTAGCCAGTGTCGCACTGAGCATATGATGAAAGGTTCATTTTCTAGAGCAGTCTACATTCGTGAGTGATACTGTCAACATCATGATGGTCGCCTTTGCTTCCCATATATTAATTGGTACCGATCTTTGGTTTTGTCGAATCAAAAGCAGAAAAAGATTGGGGGAGGAGCCAAGATGCAGGTTCAAACCCACGATCTCCAAGTCGCAGATAAGCCCCTGCCTACTGTTGATGACCGAACCAATACTTTTCTGGTAATGAGGTAATCGCAGTTTCACGTCTTAGCAAACGGGTCATTCCATAGTTGTTTAGTTCTTGTGCCAAAGAAATCCACACACAATATCCATCACTGTCCCTTGTGAAAAAAAAAAAGATTTACAGTCTAAGAAAAGATAACAGCATATATACGCATTAAATACATAAGGCAGCAGTGCTAACACAGACAGTCTAGCAGTAGAAATGCAGTTCATCGTCGACAGAAGCATTAGTGCAGCAAACAAGGTCAGTAGTTGCCCACATAAGGCACCACCAGCTTCACTTTGTTTCGCCCGGCTCTCTAGCGTAGTTGGCTAAACCGGATTGCTCGGTGAGCGGGTGACGAACTCCTTGTGGTCCGGGTTCACTCCCGGGGGTGGGCAGAAAAGCCACTTTTCTCCCAGATTTACGGTATTTAAAATGGAATCAAGACCGAAAGGTTGCGATATCCACAATACCGAGCCTAAGGGTTAACAACTCATGGCTTCTGGATACTAAAACACAAACATCACTTTGTTTCCTTTTCTGTTGTCATCGCGTAGAAGAAACTATGGGTGAAATTTTGTTTTCACTACTTGCTTTTCACTTAGTTTTCTGTTGTCATCACGTATTCCAGTAAGACGTGTCCACAAAACAGCAGCAGCAGCAGAAGAAGAAGAAGAAGAAACACATGCGGCATTTTGTAGTAGCACAAGAAACGACTGCGTATAGACGGATATGTATGTATTTAAAAAAAAAACTGAAGTGTAAAACGAACAGCTGACACCGTGAAGCCGGTGTCGTTGTTTCTAGCCGTGAAAAACACGTGTCTGTCGCCGCTGAAACAACAAACGGCAGTTGTGGAACAACTCACTTTATAAGGGAGGACAGCATTCTTAGAACTTCATAAAACTCCAACTAATGTTAATCAATTATAACATATTTAATATTTATTTTTCTTTTATTAAATTTAAAATAATAATATCTAAGAAAACATGTGAGAAATAATTTAAAATGCAAATGATACAGTTTGACACGTAGGCTGCATGACCCGACCAGTCGATGATGATGATGTATCATTGCGCCACATCGCCGGTTACTTCCGTTGGTAATCGCTGTTGGAGATACTCGACAAGGGCCGGGGAATAACGTGTGCGGTTTTCAGTTGGTGGCGACTTGCTAACGGAGTATTCCAGTCTGCTGTGATCTAGGATGATGGAGAAGGTTTTTCTTGGGAATCTTGCAGGAGATGTCAACGAGGGGACTCTGCGCAAACTGCTGGAGCAGCAGGGGATAATCTTTAACAACATATCGATGAAAAGAAATTTCGCATTCGTTACTGTCAAAGACAAACTCTCCGTTGAAGAAGTGGTCAAGAAGTTGAACGGTATATCAATATAATTATATATACATATATCAATTAATTGCAATTGCTTTCGATGCTTCGTTGGATTTGTTGTTAGTTGTGTTTTACCTCTTGCAATCTATTAATCAAAATTACGATATAATTGAAAATGTTACTGTGTTTGAACGTTTTTTTTTTTTAATGATGAATGGGTTGCGTACCGGCCACTGCGATCATTGTGTCCGGTGTCGACTGCCATTCCCTCTAGTGGTGGCTTGACCTGTCCCTAGTCAGTTACTTTTATGTTGTCTTGAATCACCTTCAGTAACGGTCATTTCTGAAACCGCGTGGCAATTTTATATTTTGTTTTATTCACAGCCGTTAAACACTTGAAACATAAAAGTTGCAATGCTATTCATGTTTCGTACGTTTCGTATGTGGCAGTGTCACAGACGTTGACGCTTATTTATATGTTATAACTGACTGACCTATGTCGACTAGCTAAACTGTCATGAACCACTCATTTTTGGCGGCGCTAATCATGCCAGTGCGGTCCGGTCAGCATTAGTTTCATCTCAGTGGTCTCCCCTAACATGATAATGTGCAAACAACAGCGTCCCCATCTGATAGTATTAATAACACAAAATCCTGCATCAGTAACAGAAAATGTTTTCACTTGATTCAAATGATCAGCACTTGTAGAAAGAACAACACACTAGACAGCATAAAAATCGGCCTTTCACCCCCAGAAGTATGCACCTCACTGAAAACAAGTGCACTAAGAACATTCATCAGCCGTTCCATGTTTTTGGCCAGACTCCGCAGGCCGATAATCGGCCCGTCCTTTGTTAATAAAAAATAATAATTGTAGAAAGAACAACACACTAGACAGCATACAATACCCCCAGAGCTATCACTGCTATCTGAAATGCAAATGTTATTTTATGCAGTATATTATATTCCACCTTTAATGTGTATGACCTTAGACTTAGAGTTAAGTTTATGTCTATATTGGTTTAGGCAATTGTGACACTCTACAACCATTTTTTTTTAAATACTCTTGGTGTTTAGTTGCTGACCATTTTCATTGCTTACTGACTCAACAATTAACCAGATTTGCAATTAATTCAGCATGTTTGGCTTTGTGCGACGAGACAGGGCGTTCTACATGCCTTGGGGCCAGACTTCTCAACATTTTGCGGTGTACCGCACAACGCTCTGTCGCTTCAGACACACAGCGCTACCCTCTGCAATAAACTCATTTCCTCCTGAAAATCCCAAATGGCTCTCATATATCCACCAACAAGCACTGCTACTGCTTACGAGGGAGTACGCAATGTCGGCGGCTGCTAATCCCAGAATAAGAATTATCGCAGAACGCTGTGTGAATACCAAAGTACACCAGCACACTTCTTTAAGCTTCACAGAGGTTGACCAGCCCAACCAACTATAAATGAAAAGTTGCATGATGTGTAAATGGGTAGAGTTGACCCCGAGGGGCCCGAGTTCGTGAGTGGTTCCGATCATTTTGTGAGTTTGGTGATGATGGACTCAGACTGCTAAACATATCAAAGCCCACATCTGGTAAGGTAAACAATGAAACCATGCAAGTGATTCTAAGATGTACAAGGGATACCTCAATAGTATGTATTCAGTACATGCTTGCGCTGCAGACTACCTCAGATAGGCCCAAAGTGCTGCAAACGAGGCCATACCTATTTGGAAAAAGCACATCTTTTTTTGCAGCCTTGGACAGAGTTAAGGGCCACAGGCTGATAAGAGTAAAGTCTTGGATGGCACAAGCAGAGGACACAGAGATGTCTGTAGGCTTAAAAATATGAGGAGAGAGGTTTGTCATATGATTTGTTTCATTGGTACATCAAAGCATATTTCAGTTCACAATAAATCGATGGCAGATCTCCATTCTGGTGACTTTATGGTTTACAGTGACTCTTCAGTACTCAGTGACATATTTTAAGAAACCCTTTACAGTTGTTTGGACTGTCTTCTATCCCATATAGCTCATTGTCTTTCCTCATTGGGGTAAAAAAGCACATCTGCCAAAGGCATTGTGCAAAGCACAAGCTCCAGTGACGACAGTCATGCCCACCTCAATGCCCACAGTATCTCCAAAACAATCTGCATTAAAAAAATTAATACAATCGGAAACTGACTCATACCCTTCAGAGAGCAAGCCACACAGCTTAATCACATCACCATAAGGATCTCTCATTACAGATGTTTCTTTACCCCACATTGGTCATTACTGCCCTTATTCACAGAGCCCAATGAAATGTTATCTGTGGCATCACAAAGTAATGTCTGTCATCGGGAGTTAGCCCTTCTGTGAAGTCACTGTCATGTTTAGATATTCTTGGCATCACACAAGTCATGCTGAAAAAAAGCAGTTAACTGGAAACAATGACGTCAGCTACTGAGGGTTAGCATAAGGTTATATTAGTATGAATACAAATTAAATTCTTCTTAAATAGCACTTTCATGCAAGCATGTTTTAATTTGTATTTGCACACACATTGAAAAATAGCAATGAGGAGTACAAAAATCAACAATATTGATGATGAAATAGACGTAAAGTACAAGGCACGTTTTTGTAATTAAGTCCCAGTTAAAGAAAATTTTTTTAATGTATAAAAATGGATTTATTACAGCAAAATAGAACCACACATCTACATTATTTCTCATCATAGTCACTATTGCCTTCGACAAATTGTTGATATCGTGGCACCAGGTTCTTAATTCCAATGTCATGGAAGTCTGCCACTAGTGTCTTGACATTACCGCCTGTCTGCAGTTCATCATCAGTTTCAAGCTGCTGGGATGCCCGCCACTTCTTTAGATGCATGAAAACGTGCTAATCACTTAGTGCTAGATCGGGGCTGTAGGGCCTACATTTTTTCACGGCGACTAAATCGGCCGACCACTGCGATCTTCATCATAGATATTTGTTCACAGCATGAATGAACCTCGCAGCTGGCGGGAGTGTCTATTTTTGTACTCATTATAAATCGCTCACACGCAGCTTCAAACAAGATTTAGACAGTGAAAAATATAGCACACAGCTAGTTAGTGAACCACATAAACATACTGCATATGCACATTTACGTTTTCCTTCAGTGTTTGTGGCTGCGGTCAAAACAGGACTTGCTGAAAAAAACATGCCTCGTATATTTTGGATCAGAACTATTTCACATTGCTGTCAAAGGCAAGATTGACTGCTTTGTATGGATAAGTCAGTTGACAGTTTAATTCTGGGAGACTGCAAGATAGGCTTAACACCAGATGGGTTTATGCTATAGTCTAAGCAGACTAACTGACTGCACAAGGGCTTCATATGATGCACGAGTGCAACTTTCATGAAACACGCTGATATTGATGTACACTTCTGACTGGATATAATACAGGCTTGATATGCAGCAACCCTTTCATGTGCACATCCTTATCTTCATGGTTTACCTGTGTTCTCCCCCCTCTGAGATCTGTGGCCCCATTATGTGGAAAGCAGGAACAGACCCACTGCCTCTCCAAACAGCGTTTTGTAAGAGTCGATTAAATGGGGGGGGGGGGGGAGGTCCCTACATAGTGCATCTACCGCAGAGGGAGGGAACCTACAGCCTGCATGCAAATATGCCAGCTATGTAAAACTGATGTGTACACAGAACTCAAGTTCTGGAAAAAGGCTGTCCAGAAGTGGACAAAGAATTAGAAATTTCCACCAGAATTTACAGCTGTTGAACGCAAAGAAGAAACTATCAGCATTCTTTAACCTGTTAGTTACGGCAAAGTGGTAGACTGCGGAAAAGAGAAAGTCCAGATGGGCCACAAAAGTTACAGAGCAACAGTTAAAAAAAATGCCTTCTTTTTTTAACCTTTATAAATAGAACATTTGTGCAGTTTGTAAATTTAGCAGGGTTCCTCAACATTCTTCTGCTCTGTGTTGCATTAACAACCTGTTTCAGTAACAGGTGGCACCACTGTAACTGTTTTTAAAAGGCTTCCACAGATGGTTGGTTAAAGCAGTGCAATGTCACAGAATTCCTCAATGCTGAAGGCGAGATCTCAGTTTGCATCCACAAACGTTTAAAGAATGTCCATGGAGATTCAGCAGTTGTTAGCACTGTCTCACACTGGTTACCATGTTATGATGAAGCTAAAGTTAGGTCAGTCCTCAGTGGCTGACACAGTGAACTGGCCGTCTACGACAGTTACTTCACATCATATTTTTTACCGTCTCTTGTATCAAATTGTTGCTTTTTTTTAATTTCTTTTTTTTTTAAGGTTATATCAGCCATGTCATTTTTTTAAGAGAAAGAAATTATTAGATGTCATGGAAGATGTCATTGCAGGGCTACATCTATCAGAAAAAACACGCTAGCCACATATATTCTAACCTAAGCAGGCAATTCACAGTAGCTGAATTTTTTTTTAAAAAATCAGATTTAACAGTCATCTACATTTGTTTTTGTGTTTGGTTAGATGTCAGGTGGGCTGTGAAACAATTTTTTTTCATTTTGGTGGGCCACATATATAAAAAGGTTGAATAACGCTGGTTTACATAGCACAAATTGTTGAACTCTCACCCTGACCATGATTCTCTGTCCAATTTAGAAATTATTATTTTGCTTTTGCATTCTGTATTCCCACATCTGCAAAGGCCTCAGTTTGTCTTTCTCACTGTGTGTTTATTATCCGTGTTACTCAGATTTAACAGCAGGTGCCTAGATAGAAAAGATAATAAAAACATAAGTGCTGTATTTTGAAAGAAACAACATGAACACTACCATTTTTTTGTTGTTGAGGGTGGGGTGGTCCTGAGCCTAAGTATTGTTGACCACATGGCTAGTGCAGTCGCTTCCATCCCTTTGCCAAGGATTTGAACTTGGTCTCCCACATGAGAGCCAGATGTTCTAGCCACTTAGCTGGCTTCACCTCAGCAACATTTGTAAAGTAAAGGACCCTCTTCCACGCCTTTAGGCGTATAGGGCTAGACCTTATATTTTATAGACCAATCAGCACAAGATGGGTGTTGTGGTCAGCATCACGCTGGCCGCCTTTACTTCCAGGGACTGCACTCGGTACCCACTCAAGGCTGGGTCAACCGGGAGCCAAGGTCATTTTTAAAAAAAAGTCCAGCTTTGCCAGGGAGCGACCCCACAACTTTCTGATCCGCAGCGAGCATCTAACCGCTCCGCCACAGGGACTCCCAGCAACATATATACGCCTTCTGTAACTGATATCTTGTAAAGTAAATAACCCTTTTCCACCCCTTCTGGCGTATTAGGCATATATGGCTACTCCCACTCAGTGGGTGATTTGGTCAGCAGCATGCAGGCCGCCTTTACTTTCCAGGACTTCAGTGGCCATTTTGAGCTGGGTCAACCTGGGAGCCAAGGTCATCTTTGAAAAAAAAGCCCAGCTCTATCAGGACCCAAACCCACGACTTCAGGATCTGCAGATGAGCGTTTAGCTACTACTCCACGGCAGCTAAATCATATCTTCTGCTACCTGTTAAAATGAATAGCCAGAGTATGCATGCCTTATTGAAAGGGGAAAACTTATGACAGGTTGACTCTTTATATACCAGTGTTGTAGATCACACATTGTGAGTTGTTTGGGATATAATAGCTTATTTTTCTGCCCTTTATCCCCCACTAGAGCATAGTCCTGCAACCAACTCACTCAGTCATTCTCTCCTTTGCTACTACATGCAGGTTACCCCATGCCCCCCCCCCCCCTTTTTTTTTAAACTTTACTTTCTAGCCCACATTTCAGCCTGTTTTGTGGTCTGCTTTTTTTCTTAACCTTGTGGATTCCAATGCAAAAGAATTCTAGTTATATTTTTCTCAGGTTTTCTCAATGTGTGTCCTATCATCGCCTTTGCTTAACCTCTTGATTCACTGGAATTTGTTTAGTTCATTACCAAAGCTCAACATCTGTGATTCTGTCTTTTAGCATTCTGTTAATGTCCATTTAATGCAATTTCTTTCAGGCTATACACTTGAAGGCTCAGTGATGCAAGCTGAACCATCGAATGGAAAAAAGAGGTGTGTTCATGATTTAAGACATTACAGATCATTTATTTTAGATTTGTGTGGTCATACAAGTTAAGAAAGACAGCTAAAGCCGTCTAGATGATTCTTCACTCATATAATTTGTCTACCAATATTGAAGCTGCTTTAGACTTAGGCAAGACAGTCCATGTCCAGAAGTTTATTAACCCAGTTTGTACAATGCAGATTATATAACTGGAAAATTATCTACGTTATACATAGGTGCACTGTTGGGTTTGAACTGTAAACAAAATGGTAGATGGATATCCCTCACTCTTTGGCTGTCTTAAACACTAAATAGTAATAACATACTTCTTCTTTTTGTTCCCCTAAAATAAGTTGTCTATATTAGCAATTTTGTCTCTAGTGTAAATGTCCATCATTTTTAGTTCATTTAGTGATCCATAGAGTTTACATTCCACTATTCTTTCTGGCCAGAAGGAACAGTAATATAAAGCAAAGGGGCTTAGTACATACCACCAATTTGTGTTTTAGAGCAGTTTCAATCTACTGATTGAAATCATGAGAGGCCCAAATACCCTGGGAGTGGAGGAATAAGATAAGGACAAATATATAGCTGCAGGCATTAGCAAATTACACAATGTCTTAGGGTGAGTTGGTTGATCGTCTCTGCTGTACATTGGAAAAAAAAAACTTCTATGGTGAGCTGCAAAATGGAAATGTTCCCAAGGCAAGCAAAAAAAAAAACGCTTTAAGGATACCTTGAAGTCTTAACTCAAAGTATTTGGGATGAATGACACCAATTGGGAGGCTGCCTCTCAAGACCGAAATGCATGTCGTGCAACTCTACACAAGGTCGCGGCTACATGTGAAGCAAACAGAACAGCAAGACTGATTAAGAAAGGGATGGACAGAAAGGCGACTACAGGAGATCTCCTCCCTGGCACAACACTAATTCCCTGTCCTCACTGTCCAAAAACTTTTCATGGCTGCATTGGCCTTTCAGTCATCTTTGTACTCATACTTGATGAAAAATAGTGGTCACCATCATCTGGATGGATAACAACACAACACACATTGGAAGATAAGAGGCAAAAAGAAAAAGTGTAGATTCAGCTGCATCTGTACAGGATGCAGTAAATAGTAGTAACATTAAGATTGACTCTACTGCTGTTTAAAACTTAAGCTTCAAAATCTAGCCTGAATGTATAAGTACAGAAGATATTCATTCTCAGTTTTTTCTTATTCTGATGAAGGCTTTCCAGTTGCAATGCTCATTTTGTCATATGTGATTGTGGTTTTGCGAAGCTGACTAGTTCTGTTCTTCTTCTTCTTCTTCTTCACTTCCTCTTTTACCGCTGTGAGTGTCGAGGGAGATATAAGGTTCTGTCTCTAGCTCTTCTGGCCGTCTCGACCATAGGCACATCGTGCTGTTGTAGAGTTTCTCTGATGTTATCCTTCCATCTTGTTCTTGGTCTACCTCGTTCTCTACGTCCTTCTCTTTCCATGTATGCTTTGTATGGTATGGTGTCACAAGGCATTCTCTCTAAGTGGGCAAACCATTTCACTTGCTGTCTTCGTATGTAATCCAGAATTGGTTTTGGGCTTACTTTTTCTCTTATGATCTCATTCCTGATCCTATCTCTTATGGTCACTCCTACAGCCCTTCTCAGACATCTCATTTCCGTGGTTACTAATTTTCTTTTATGGTTTGTTGTGAGTGACCATGTCTGGCACTGGTAGCACAGATTTGGAATAAATATGCTTTGAATTAGATGTCTCTTTGTGCTGATTGGGATTGTCTTATGCTGTAAGAGGGGGGCTAGCTGTCCCAATACTTGGTTTGCTTTACTGCAACTAATGTCAATTTCTTTATCCAATTTCCCATCTAGTTCTGTTCAGTTTTTAAATTAAGGTTTTTCCCTGAAAGCCTATAAAAGGCTTGGGTGCCTTGCTCCAGTGGAAAACATCAGAAAGAAGATATGTAGATTGTGTCTCCACCTTGCGATGGCGGGGGAGTGTGTTTCTCAATGACCCGAGAGCTATACCGGTGGTAGCTTAGCTTCTAGCAGGGCCTCCCAAGCCGGAAAGGTCAAAGGAGAGACACCATGGTCCTGCAGGTTGGGGGTTGAAGCATGGGGCCGACACCCCCATCTTTGTTAAACTCATGTTGTCATGAAAAAGATGTCTAAGCCTCATTTGCCATGTATTTAAAGGGATCACGAACCTGGAACGTTTAAAGAACTGAGATTTGGGACCTACAAACACTTGGTGTCACCAGCTGGAAAGTGAAGGCCTGTCAGAGAGATGAATGGAGGTGGGTGATATCTCGGAATGCTCAGGGAGAAGAAGAAGCTTGTCTAAGATTTGTCATCTTGTTATATGCACTTTCATTTTCTTCACAGCAGAAGAACAAATAAGATTCAGATCCGAAATCTGCCTCGCCATTGTTCAAAAGAGCAAATTGAAGAGCTGGTCAATGTTACTTCCAGAAATCCCAAAAAGTTTGAACAAGGTATGTTATCTCTCAAATATAAGCACCTTTATTTATGTGTCATCACACTGGGATCTACAGCTGAATGTTTGTCTTTCTTGTGAGTATCTATGCCTGTAGAGACTGAGTCATCTGAGGGTGATGAGAGGGTCTGGGTGATTTTTAATGTGCAGGGGAGAAGACTTTTAATCAAGTACTCTGGCAGCATGGGATCTTTTTTGTTTGTGTTGGCTACTGGAAAAAAGGGGCAGAGCATGTGTGCGAATGTGGTTCATTCATTTGTTCATTTTAAATACATATTGTTCTGTGTCAGTGTGCCAAAGGAAAGTTCTTCTTGTTAATTTGTGTCAGTGTGCCAAAGAAAATTTCATCTTGTTGCATTGTCACATAGTACTTATAAATGTATAAACCCATTATCCTGTCTCAGTAGAGCAGCAGGTAAAGTAAAGAACCCATGTGCAGGCCATATCCACAGTTGATGTGCTAGCTGCATCTTATACCAGATTGCTGCTTTCTGTAAATGTATTTGGTGATTAATAACACAAAACTAAATGGCTTCTGTATACACAGTCATATGTGAAGTGAAAGAAAGTTGAATGTAGTAAACTAAGATTCATTGGGGTAAATTCTTTTGAGTTTGCCTTTAAAAAAGCACTCTGCACATTATGTTGTAGTTTTACAACTAGGCTGCATCTTTCAACCCCATGCCAGCGTTTGATCCCTAATTAGTCTCTTTTATCAGCATGCTTGTTGTGTGTGTGGGGAGGGGAGGAGCAGTGGGTGTAATCTTTTTGTGTGCCCCAAATGTATCTCCAGAATCCACACCTGTGATGGGGGGGTAATTGTTCTTGGTGGTAGTATTGTGTCCGGGTGGTAGTATTGTGTCCGTGGGTAAATATCTCAGATATTAGTGTAGTGGATGCATGCTGTGTGAATGGTATGTTATGATAGAACCATGTACATTTGCAATAATCACCGATTTAAAAACTGCATAGCATGTTTTCCATGTTAAGTTCCATGCACATTGTTTATTTTGGGAACTGTATATTTGTTTCCAATTACAGTTGGATCTGAGGGAATTATGTATGTGACATTCAATACTCCAGAGGAAGCAGAGGAGTAAGTTTATTTGAATATTTTAACGAATTCATTTATGCATTGCCTGCTTAAATTTTGAAAGGTAGCATAGTGCGGATAATTTATTATTATTATTTTAAGCGAAAGTAATTTTTATGGTTAAATGCTTACCTTTAGATGTATTTAAGGAAGGGTATTAGGTGTTTTGAATTTTATACTTTGTTTTGAAAGATAGATGACTGATTTTTTTTTCTCTAAAGGTGTGTAGAGCAGCTAAATGATTATCGCTTTGAAGACGGAACACAAATTAAGGTAAGAATTGTTTGTTATACATTAGTCTTTAGTTTATCATGCAAGCATTACAAGATTACGCATAAAAACCATGAAGAAAAGACAAGTGGAGTTTAAGGGTCATATCAGTGAAATGTGTGAGATGGAGAAAGTAGCCTTACATGAAGTGGTGGTACATGGAAAGATGTACCTGGAATTCTTAAACAGTTGGGCACCCAGTCAATAATTTATTCAATATATCAAATGACAGAATTGAAGAAAAGTCATGATTGCTGTTGTCTGCTGCTTCAGGCATCTGAAGAAGCAGCATTCCCAGGGAGCGGTGATAGTTGGAGGACACTTGATTTACTCTAAGTTGTTGCATTTTCCCTCTTAGAAATAGGGTACAGTTATTCTAGCCAGGGTTTCTTGTCAGGTGGTTAAATTACTCAGTGGTGTAATAATTGCTGTGTAGCCTCATATTGCACAACTAATTGTAACTTTAGTTACATATTTGAGGACTAACGACCTTAAAACAGGTGGGGGGGGGGGGGGACCAGGCAACAACATTTACGATGTAAAAAGTGAAATTTTTTAATGTGTGCACTTTGACCTGGAGATCCAAAATGAAAAATCTAATTAAGATACAAGTTCACGGCAGTTGGGAATATTTTCATTTGCAAGCGTTCATTCAGTGTACTTGATCATTTGGGGTAAACTCCATGCTTGCAGTTGGTCATTATTATCGAATGTGTCGGGTGTCCGCACAGTAAGATGTCAATTTAGTACTGCCCAATATCAGACTTACATAACATTTAAACGAGATTTGTTAGCATATAACAGTTTTTATCAACTCTGTTCATTTCAGGTTGACTTTTTTAGAAATCAACGCCGATCAAACCGGAGCAATTCTAACAGCAACTCCGGGCTTGCTCGTCAAGATCTTCCATTGAGGTAAGTTAACTGCCAAAATAGGTGAAAGGTTTGTGTATAGTTAATTCAGCATATGCAAATTAACAAATGCTTAGCCTATAGTGTTTCCATGATTGGAAGACTGCTGTTGTCAGCTCTGTACAAATTGCTTGATACATTTGTTTCACCACTCCTGCAGTCTTTAAATAAGGCACACACTAAACTGTATTTTAAAATATGTATCTATACAGTTGGCTGAAACAATGTATATACTGTAATCACCAAGTAGCGAAATGTATTGGCATGTATGATGTTTGCAGTCTTAGAAAACATTACGATAGCAGTTTGTTGCATGGAGTTTTTTTTAAATAACCTATTAAAACATTTCGATAAAAACATGTATTCATACACGAAGAGATGCATACAATATTTTATATATGAAGTTATTACAGTTGCTCAAAGTGATTCCCATTAGCCTCCAGACACTTTTCTTAACCATCATAAACACATAGCTAGCGTAATCTCATCTAAGTATGGTGGAATTTGTCAGATGATGATATCTTTAAACAGGTAGCCTGTATGAAAATGTTCATACATTTCACTGCAGAGCAATTACTGTGTATATATTTTTGTGTGGCTAACTGTATGTATATTAACTCACAAGGAGTTATTAACTGCACTGTAGTCCCAGTGGGTATAGCATCAGAGACCCTAGGGGTAGTAAAGACATGTAAAATTAGTGCATCTTGCATTCACAGCTTCTAGGTAGGAAACTGAACATGTGATGCATTCCTTGGGACTAAAGGAGTTAAAAAGAGGCATGTCCTTTACAAGACACTGGACACCAACTTTGTTGGCTGTTTATGGTTTTACTGGGTAATTGTGGGTTCATTAGTTTATCATTGTATCATGACACATTGGTCAAGTCAAAATCAATGCAGTTGCTGAAACCGGACATGTCGGGCAAAGACAACACAGCCTAGCTGTAAACCACAGCACAATGTGTGCTTACCCCACTTTTAAAGGTGGGCTCAAAAGAATTAGATTATTCTCCTAGTAATATTAAATCATCATCCTGTCTTTTGTAAAATGGATTTCAAATATTACTTATCTGAACACTGTTCATTTCTTGTAGGATTGTTGTGGCCAGTGACTACATTGGAGCTGTCATTGGAAAGCAGGGACAGACAATTCGAAAAATTACTTCAGAAAGTCGTGCCAGGTAGATTGATCTTATAATTGTTTGCTTGTCACATGTGAAAGTTTTTTTTTTTTTACATATCACTTAGGAACTCAGCTCTCAAAATAAGAACTTTGAAGTCAGATTTTTGTTGTGATAGATACATGGACAGGTATACTTGTTAATCCACACCCACACATTACCTTTTTTTTTTTTAATCTCCTGTTTCCAGCTATATTTCAGTGAGCCACATTTACCATGGAGATTGAAGTAAACTTACAATGTGTGTGTACACACACTACTCACAAAAAGCAATGCAACCCTATTGCAGTTGTAATGGCTGGTCAACTTCATACTTGTACAAAAATTTTGTCGGAATTATTGTTTGTTTTAAGAGGGAGACACTTTACTTAAACAGTATGATGATCCCATCATTTGTAAGTGGATGGTCAACTTCAAACTTGTACAGAAATTTTGATGGAATTATTGTTTGTCTTAACATAGAGACACTTTGTGACTTTAACAGTGCAGTGATGATCATTACATTTGGTTTGCACTTTATTTGCGAATGGAACCTCCACTTCAGTGAGCTGAACGCCTTCCTCAGCATCTCTTTGCTATTGATCTGATTAGCCATTGAATCTGTTGTGGGATGGCTTCCCACTCTTTTCGGAATGCAAGAAACAACTGTTGGAGATTGGTCTGAAGCCATATCTTTCTGATAGCGTCTGCTGAGTTCATCCCATAGTATACTATATAGAGTTTGATGAAGGGTCTGGATGTTGTTTTGCTCTTAACAACTAGGTTATGAGATGTAAAATTATCCTGCTAAAAAAAATAATCAATCCTTGTGCGGCCAGAAATGGATGGGCATGCAAAAGAATAATTTCAGTGACCGTCTTCTTCGACACCAGCAAATTCTTAGAGATAAAATAAATTGTGTGTCAGCACAAATTGAATTACCCCCCTTTACACGAGTTGTAGCAAATAGCATTATTTCCTAATTTACGGTTGAATACCAAAACAAGAAATGGTTTGAATTTGAGAATGGCAGTAGGTTGGTTAATATTGACGAAAACTAAATGGCAAATGTGTAGGATTATTAAAGAGTTAGTTTCAATCATCACATTAAATGTCTCATAAGTTAACATTATTTTGAATTATATTATGCTGAAAAATCTGTGTTGTATGTGCTACATTTACCCTGTTTAAAGGCCTTTTTTCTCTTATGTATGGAAATTTGGTTGATGGTCACTTTGCCTCTATAAAATGGGTTCGGAATTGCTGTGTGAGATCTTAATATTCTTAACTGAACTATAGAGTTAATTTTATGTGACTACCGCAGAAAGGCAGAGAAATAAATTTTAATACTTTGTGTCTAACATTTTATAACGACAACAGTGTTATAAGATATAATTTGTGTTATATCATTTCCAGAGTGGACATTCACAGGAGAGAAAGCCATGTTCCAGACACAGTAAGTCGTTGCCATTTTAAAAATTCATGTCTTCTGTAACCGTCATACTGGCCCTCTGTTCCACCTCTTTATTCCTAGAGTTTTGTGAAGAAATTCTTATTCTGTGGCATCATTACATGCTGTTCTGGTAAGCATAGGCTGTCATGTTTCGCCATCTCATACTACTACTAGAATCACAGATAAATTCAATGTTTTTGTCTCACTCCAGGCATTTATCCTTTTGCACTCTTTCCGACAGTCTTGCCAGTTGTTTAACCAAATTTACCAGTCCATTCCTTCTCTTATAATGTCTGTAAAATATTGACTGTCTGTGTCTAATTGTTCTCAGTTTACCACCTTACAGTCTTGATGAGGGTTGCTTCATTTGTTTTTCTATCCATGCATGATATTCTTTGCATTCTTCTCAGAAACCACATCTGTGTAGTGAATATTAATTTTTCAGCTTGTTTTCCTATAGTCACTTGCATGTAACAACACGGGTTCTACAAAGCATTTTAACACATTTTCTTACTGCAAGGGACATCTTATTGCTGAGAAGCAATAATTTGGCATAGAAACAATAATTTGTATTTTTAATTTCTGGGCAGTTCATTTTCACAGACTATACCAAATGTTAAATATCAGCTGTGTTTACATTCACATTGAAGTTGTTGTCATAAAGATTGCTGTGCAAGGATTGATTCACATCTCTAGCAGGCACTGCTTTTGCTGAGACGAAGGCGCCCCTGTATTACTATAACCAGGAAAGAATGCTAACATAACCAGCTATGCATGTCGTAAGAGGTGACTAAAGAGGGTTGATGTGAGACTGTCACAGTTGGCAAAACAGCAGAATTGTCATCTAGTCTGTTAGGAAAATCTACTTGGTTTTGTTATTTCACTTATGTTAACAAATTGAGAGTTGCTGTTACTACTCCACTATTGTGATTTGCTGTATATTTTCATTCTAGTCTCTTTTCCTAGAATACAGATAACATGGGCAATAATTTGGAATGTAACAATGTGCAGCTCAGGTTTTGTAGCGAACGTTGGGACTCACTTTTGACCTTGAATTTGCGGCTCTGCCCGTGAGCCATGTTTTCATCTGGTAGAATTTTCAGCATTGCGTCCTGCCGTCGCACAGCGTGGAAAACATTTTGTGATGGCCAGAACTTTCATCACCCTCTCTGCCATCCCCGAACATCATTGTCATATTTTATAGGTTACCTGGTCTTCTGTACTGCCTGTATCTGGTCTGTTCCGAGAAGAGTTGGGCATTTAATTTCAATGTATTCGGGTTATTACCTAGTTCATGTTGTCTCTGGCAGATAAAGATTAAGTCATTATCATAAACCACTTCTGCCATCAAGCTTCATGGGTAGCTTAATGTTGGAATAAATATGCTGTTTATAATGTCTCTTTGCACTCAGTTATGCTTGGATGTCTAATAATGGTGACAAGAGATCTCAGAAAACACATGTAATCTCATATGGTTATCATATGTGAATATTCTCGCTACTAGTTATATATTTTCCTGTCTGAGCAAACGAATGTTATTTTTGTACCACTTGTTTTGTGTGTGCAGCTGATAACCATCAAAGGATCTCCTGAAAGTTGCAGCAAAGCTTGCAAAGAAATAATGACTGTGGTGCGCCAGGAAGCCGATTTATTGAATAGAGGGTAAGAACTGATGATAAATTCAAAATAGTCTTAAAGAATGTAGCTGATTTACCATTTGCAACTGTTATTGAGTGGGTACGAACTGTATTCCTGGAAGACATGAAGTTATGTTGAACACATCACCAGTCGAGTGCTGATTGGTCTATAGAATATAGATCTAGCCCTATGTGCCCAATACTTGTTAAGGGTCTATAAAATATAGCCCTTTGTGCCTGTAATGCATGATAAGAAGAAACTCCACAGGGGAGCATGTACAGCAGGGGTCTACCAATCATCAGTAGAAGTAACCTCTCGTCAACAAATGTTTCGGCGCACGAGCTCCTAGACATTTTCAGAGAGTGGGCCAATCTGAGTTCATGAAGCTAAGGGTTGGTTTCCCCTGCTGCAGGTATTACCGGATGTTATTCAGACAGGGACAAGACGAATTGGTGATTTTGCAAAAGGTACTGTGAGATAAGAAGTCATTGCGGTAGCATAAATAAAGCAGTCTGCATACCTGGACGACTGAGTGGCAAGCTTACGATTGGTTTACCGGACACATGTTGGACTTTGTTGGCAGGTGACAGAGGGACACTGGCAGACAATTCGGGCACGATGGACGTTAAGGGATAAGACATTCTTTTCCACTAGACACCCAGACCAGCTCACCGAGGCCCGTCTCCCACGTTCCGTTGTGTCCAGAGCCAGCTCGAGGCCCTCTCAGCAACCTCGCCCAGCTGTTTAAGTGTTCGTTTGCGTTCATTACCTCTTAAGCCTAGTTCTTTAATCACATTGTAGATGAGCTGACGCTTCTCCGCAGAGTGGAGAACTCTGTCAGGTTGCAGGCCGGTCTTCCGGATTAACTCAGGGTACCTTTCATGGTCAGGCAGGTCAACCGCCAGTAACCAGTCCCTCGCACAATCTAGCATCGATGGAGCGCATGAATGCGTAGACAAGGGTCTTTTGATGTACTTTTAACTATGTTAATAAAGGAGAAGAAAGGTGGAGGTTATCCAAGGGAGATGATATTGTATGGAAAATCACCTGTCAAAAATGGTCGACGGTACACATAACTGAAGGTTGTGCAGTTATTTACAAGAAGTAGGATTTTTATCATAGCTTGGCTTATCAGTTTCTCTCTGTTCTTGATCTCACTTACTGGTTAGCTGAAATTTCTTGAAGTTTTTGTTCGAATTGTCTGTTGTGCAACTAATGATTTTGTTAAACTGCAGTTTAGTACATTGCTGTAGCTGCGTTTGTTACATAATTTTAGGGAGGGGGCGGGGCAGAGCTCTCACAACCACCACCCCAACATTCTTGTTGTAAAAGGAGAAATTACAGATTTGCTCAAATCGAATATGTTGGGCAGACACAGCAGTCAAGCTGTGACCCACAAAAACTTACCATCTACCTTTTTCATGGCTAACACAAAAGAAGAGCCAACTGCCTGCTGCTTAATGCAGTGTAATTTTTTTTAACATCTTTTTTTTCCAGTGATGTGCCCTTTAGGATTTTATGCCCCAACAGCATCTGTGGCCGTATAATTGGCAAGCAGGGAAATGTGATCAAGGTGTTCATGGAGAAAACTAATACAAACATCGTCGTATCCAGGTTTGCCAGCATCGCGTTATGCGTTTTCATTTACTGCATTTTATATTGTTAGTCTTTTCATTAAATGATATATTCATCTGTTGCCATACTTTGCGGCAAATGCTGTACCACCCAGGCCCTTGAGAAGAAAAAAAGAATTGTAGCACTGCCATCTACCTCCCTTCTTTTACCCTGGAATCAATGTACCTGAGCGCCAGGAACTGGGACCACTGGCTGTAAACAAATTCTCAAGTCCCTCTTTTTTTTATCTTTTTCCCTTTCTACTTCATCCTTAGTCACTGCTTACGAAGAGTTTTTGTTCTTTCTGCATTGTGTGTGGTCTACTGGTTCTGTTGCACCAGATCCTGTTTTGGCCTTTTATGGTAAGGCGTTGTATTTCTTTAGGCAAACATTGTTTTTTGACGTCTTGATGTGTAATTCAATATTGCTTTTGTGTTGACTCTCTTTTATGATAGCATTCCTGATTTAATCTTGTTGGTTACTTATGCAGTCCTCATCAGCCATCTTTAAAAACGTAGTTCACAGATACTTCTACTCTGTCTCTTAAATATACCTTTGCGCTCTACTCTATTCAAATTATTCTTTCCCCCCTTATTGCCATTACTTCTGTATGTTTTGTGTGTGTGTGTGTGTCTGTATCTGTATGTCAAGACCTGGTCATCTGCTAAGAGTCATTTTGTGTCCCCATTTGTTTATATTTTTCTTCCTGAACTTAACCTCTCCCTTTTTCCTCTTAGCGTTCATCAGCTGTAAACCCTGGCAGTAAATTCTGGTTATCCGCCCACTTCTGAACTTTGTTTGGTCTTGTTCCAGAAATTTAGTTCTACATGCACATCCATGTGATAGATATGGCTTATCTGTCCACAGACTGTGGATTCCTTGCTTCTCAGGCTAATGTACTTCAACTTTGAAAGAAACACCCCTACCCATAATTAGTTTACATTACAACATGTTTGTTAAAGGGGCTGTGGTGTCTATTTCCCCCACCCCTAACCTGCAGTAGGATGACCCATTGCAATAGGCAGATTGTTAACTTGCCTGTAACCTAGGAAGTATTTTAGGACTGGTGCCTATGATGTCGACTTTGTGAGCTTTTGGCAATAAATAATGCATACCCAGAGTGATAGTTTAAAAAAGATTTTTGTGAGCACTCTCCTTGCATATAAGAAATGGGGAACCTTGGGGCCGCCAAGATGGAAATGAATCCTGCATGTATTGAATTGTACTTCTCTAAGTGTACATCAGAATAGGTTGGAAAAAGACTGAAGTGCACTTAATTAAAACAGCACCCAAAATTTATACCTATGATTTGTTGCAGGGTTGTTCATCCATTTTTGAACTACAATCCTGTTCCAGAATCTGAGTGTTGTGTGTGCATCCGTTTTACAGATCTGACCCATTTGTATGCAGACTGCTGGTCAGACCCTTGGGCGGATGCACTTCGACTTTGAAGGAAGTTCCCAGTTAGTCGACTCTTACGACATGCTTTTGGGTAGGCAGTGGGGATATTCTGATCTGATACCTGAATATTGTTACCATGGGTCCTTTTTCTTGCTAGAGCTGATGACTAGCAATAATCCTGTGTTGAGCTCGGTGCAGAGCCAAGCATTATGTGGTTCTAATACTGTTCTGCATGAGTTGCTTGTGTTTCATGATGATGGATGATCCCCTTGTATTTATAGCTTTGACCCTTTCCCTGGAGGCCTTATGGATTCTACCAACAGCTACATAGACAGGGTTATCACAATCACTGGTTCCACAGACGGCTGTTCTGAGGCTGAAGAAAAGATCAGTGAGAAAATGAGGCAGTGTTTTGAGCAAGATGCCAGCAGCTTTCAGGTTAGCGCCCACATTTTTTTCTAGTTATTTATGGCTGTTTATGATTGTGCGTGTACAAAAAAGTATTCTTTAGCTATATGGTATAGAGTAAAGGCAGACCCGTAGCAGCTACTGCTGACCGGCTGAATTCTTTTTGGTCTAAAAATGCGGTTTTAGCATTGCTTCCCTATATGGAATGAAGAGGTCCACTACTTTTTGTATGCACACCCATTTTATAAGGAGGGGCTGATTGAACCCAGACTTCTTTCGAAGTCAGAGTGGGGTACATCTGTTTGAGAAGTGGGGAACCAACAGTCTACACAAGCCAGATCTGTAAAATGGATGTGCATGGACAACTCAAGTTCCGGGACAGGGCTAAAATCCAGAAGTAGACAATCAGCCAGAATTTTCTGCTAGTGAACACTAAGAAGAAGAAGAAGTCATTCTGCTACACCATCATATCCAGTGAACTGTGGCTAAAAAGCTTAAAAGAAAAGGGGAATGAGAGTAACGTACACATCAACAGGATGCTGTTTTTTGTGGGAGCAGCGTGAATTGTAGTTGTGCTTTGTCAGAGTGGGGGGTCGCTGTGGTGTAGTTGCTTGACGTACTCTTGCGGATCAGAAGGCAGTGGGTTCGCTCCCTGGCGGTGCCTTTTTTCAAAAATGACTTTGGCTCCCAGGTCAGCCCAGCCTTGAGTGGGTACTAGGTGCAGTCCTGGAAAGTAAAGGCAGCCCTCATGAGGCTGACATCACCCATCGTGTGCCATTGGTCTATAAAATATAGGTCTAGCCCTATAAACCCATTACGCCTGAAAGGCGTGGAAAAGGGTCCTTGACTTTTTTTTTTTACTTTGTCGTAGCAGGAGAATGAAGATACATTTGGCACTCTCGACCATGTTACCGTCGCAGTGTTTTTACTGCTATTGCTCACTATCCAGGAAGATAGAATCTCAGGCCTTGGGGCAGCAAACTCTAGAGAAAAACTATCACCTTACCACGTGTCGAACCCGGGTCTTCTGCATTAAGAGCCTGACGTAACCACTTGGCCAGCCACTCAGTTTATTGGTTAGCTTTCTGTAAGTTTTAGTAAGTTAAGGACCCTTTTTATGCTAGTGGGGCATCTCTGGCTTATGGTGCAAGACTCGTATTTTCATAGAGCAGTTGGCACTTGGTGGGTTCTGTGGTTGTCTTCACACTGGCTGGCTTTACTAGCTTTCTTAAGATAAACTGTTTATTGACTCATGTAGGGCTAGGTTAAGACGCTTTGATACCCTAAGCATGTTCTTGGTTTGCCTAATGGTTAATCCAGCCCTGGGCTGATAGTGAGATATTATTTCCATTTTCTGCAGTTTGGCGCTCAACAGCATATGATGTTTTCTGGCATGTCAGCCCTCCCACTTATGCCAGCAATGGGGCCGTACCAAGGATTGAGGCCACCCGTGCCATACATGGTAAATTGGACACTAATTTGTCAGTTAGTGAATATAGTACAGAGAAATTTTCCTGCATTCGTGTACACTAAATATTCTGAATCAGAACATTGCAGCATGCATGGATTATTTTTTATATATAACCTTTATTGAGTGTATTTCTATATTGTATGTCTGTAGCACCTGTGTATGTGTATAAGTTTTGTGTTGAACAAAAATGAAAAGAATGTTAACAATATTTTAACATTAACATAAAAATCAGCAAATTTTTTTTTGAAAATTATAACATTTAAATTAGTCACTGGGAAAGAGTAAGAGGAGAAATATTCCCTTCTTGAAGTGACAATAAGTAATTTTTAACTTTTTGCAAGTTTTTTTTTTTAATGATTTAACTAATGCATTTATTAAATGAATCAAGCCTCAGCCTTTTCTCCAGGCTTGTTGGAGACGTATGTAATTCAGCACTTGCCACAGTACTGTCTGTCAAGTGAGATGCCATTAAGATCCCAGCACCACGGTATTTGTTAGGGGCACTCCCTTGAAGCTGTGTGATTTTAGCAATTCTCATCAACCTTGTAGTATTTGAGAACCGCCAGCTTGACCTCCTCCTCCTTGTTTTTCTTCGGGGTGGTGTAGTTCTTCTTCTTCCTCTTTTTGCCTCCACCTCACAGTCTCAGCACCAGATGAAGAGTAGACACCTTCTGGATGTTGTAGTCGGACAGGGTACGTCCGTCCTCAAAATGTTTACCGGCGAAGATCAACCTCTGCTGGTCAGGGGGGATGCCTTCTTTGTCTTGGATTTAGCCTTGACATTTTCAATAGTATCGCTGGGCTCTACCTCAAGGGTAATGGTTTTACCCGTTTGGGTTTTTACAAAAATCTGCATGATGCCACTACTTTACGATGGCTGCTCATCCATATCACCGCACTTGTAGATCAAGTGTCCAGTGGTGGTGGACTTGCCGGAGTCGACATGACCAATGACGGCAATGTTGATGTGGATCTTTTCCTTGCCCATGATTACTGTTTCGCTTTAAGTTGGCGCTACTTGTACACTCAAAACCACCCGCATAAAATTTTGCCAGGTGGTTTGATGAATTAAGTGTTCATTTCTGTGTATTGAGAGCATGCATGTTTTATAACATTTAGAAAGTAAAGTAAAGGATCCTTTTCCACGCCTTCAGGCGTATTGGGGGAAAATAGTGCTAGCTGTATATTTTCTTAGACCAGTCGGCAGCTTGGTGGGCGAGGTTGTCTGTGTCACACTGGCCGCCTTGACTACCTGGTACCCACTCAAGGCTGGGTTGATTTGGGGGGTCAAGGTCATTTTTAAAGTCTGGCTCTGTCAGGACCCGAACCCACGACTTTCAAATCTGCAGGCGAGCGTCTTGCCGCTACACCACGGGGATTTAGACTGTTACCCAAAATAGTGAGGTACTATGTATAAGTAAACTTTTGCTCCAGTTTTATCCCTTTGAATAATTTTTCCCTATTACTTCCCTTTAAAGTGTAATTTTTATTTATTAAATTTTATTTTGCTATCTTTATTGAAACCACATATTTTTGTGTCTGAGGTTATAAATTTGTCTTGTCTCCTAAATTGTTAAATACTGGTGTTAGTATTATAGAGGATTAGTAGTAGTAGTACATTTTACCCCACTAGGGCCATCACACATGCTCTAAACACCAGATGACACAAAGTGCCACCATGCGGATGAGGATCACCCGTAGAGAGGTCCCGCAACCTTCTTTCAGCCATATTAATGGACGGGCTATATTACGGCCCCTGGCCTGAGAGAGGGTGTGGCTTCAAATGTCCAAAAATTGCATCCCACCAGAGGATGATGGTTCTATATTATAGAGGATGCTTTGGGTGCAACTAGGAGCAATGACAAAAGATACAGCAGCGGCGTAAATAGAAATGAAATAAAAAACAGGATATTAAATGTAGTGTTTTATTTAGACCCCTGTTTCCACTAGGCTTACATATAGGTCAGCCTTGGAGACCAAGATGAGGGAGAGGACGGGAGAATAAGACTTTCTTTCACTATCCCTGGCAATGCTGGGCAATTAAATCTTATTTGCCTAACTGCTATCTTGGTTGTTTTTTGTACAACTAACTGTATAGCATTCATTTTTTGGCTTTGTTGGCCTTATAAAGAGTGAAATTATATAGGGTGTGTTGTGACAAGTTGCATTTTAAAGTCAGTATGTTGGCACATACACATCATCATCATCATCATGTGCCTAACCATCTGGCATGGGTGGTCATAAAAGATTTAAAAAACAAAAATCATTAAGGGGAATCATGAAAGGTTCAGTCCTGATTTAAATTGGGTTTAATTACTGATGTGCATGGTCAGTTATGTCTGTATGTGGGTGTATGTATGTATAAATATATATATACACATATACTTTGTAGTTAGATAGTAGTGTCTAGGCTTGTGTGTTTTTGTTTGTTTTTTAATTAGGAGAATCGTGGAACATAACCGTTAGTTTAAATACTAATTTGTACTTGTTGTGCAGGCGGGTAGGTAGTAGTGTCTGGGCTCGTAAGCTGACTGTTTCTTAATTTATTTGCTCTGTCAGGGAGCAGCTTATTATCCTGGGGCATATGGAGGCCCACCACAGGTTCAGCAACAGCCAGAAGTGGTGCAGCTGTATATTCCAGAAAAATCTGTAGGGGCAGTCATTGGAAGCAAGGGCCAAAACATCAAAAATATAATGCGTATCTCTGGAGCTCGCATCAAGGTATCATTGTCCATCCATTCAGGCTCATATTTGAGAATACTTTTGTGTGACTCCCTAACTCATCTCTAGTCTTGTTAACAATTTATATTACTGTTGTATTACAGATGTAAAGATAATGCTGTCGCCGTTAAAATAATTTACTTGTTCTTTTTTTTACTGATTTGAAATTTAAAAAATTATTTGGGCACACTGCTGACATCTTCAAATTCTGATAAGTCAACTGACTCATATTTTTCCTCGTTGTGTTCCTGGGACAAGGCGTGGGCTATAGCTGCTATTTATTTGCTGGCCGTGGCTGCAGCTAGGCCGAGGACATGTGGAGAATGGTCAGGAATAGTTTTAATCTACTCATCGCCCAGCTATTCGTCGAGTGAAGTTGATTTTCAGCAATGACGCCTGGTCTTGCAGTATGTTTGATGAGGCATGCACCTTATGCTTTGCCAGATCATATTGTATGTGTTTTGCTGACTGAGGACACTTTGTATGGCTACGCATTCACTTGAAGTATCCAGCGTAACTGACTCAGTTTGTAACTGTAATCACTTGCATAGGCGGTTGAGCGATTATGCGCCAAGCTCGTTTGCTGTGATGCCGTAATAATGACTAACAAACTCATTAACAGTTTCTTGTCTTGGAGACTGCCAGACTTGTCTTGGAAACAATCTTGGCCAAAAGAAAAAGTGCAATGACATAGCGAGCTAATATGTATGTATGTATATATATTATAACTTAAGCTAAAACAGTATTTAGTATGACTGGCTTTTTCATCTGGATTTTATGGGAATAATTATAACCAGTCTTATAGCAGCTGTGTGTTAATTTGGAAAACATGAGAAACATGGCTATAACATGTGTGCTGTTTTCTCTCAGAAAAATTTACCATGGAAAAGACAGAAAAACCATTTGTTTTTAATCAGTTGTCTGTATATTGTTGCAGGGGGAAAAAACAAGTTGTTAAAACAAACATCAGTCCTCTACTTCTTGGGGTTTCAGTCAGTATCTGAATTTCATTATCATGCTATTTCGGTAGTCTTAATTGTTCCGCAACAAATATATCCATTACCAGTAAGTTGGAGTTGAAGCTTGACAATATTTGTCTGTTAAATAAAGAGTTAATTTCATATCCCTTTTCAGGCCGTCACAACCACTCCCAGAATTTGTTGGCTGATTTTTTATTTTTTTTTATTTTCATAAAGCTTTATATTCAGCAGTTTGCCGTTACCCTCTAGACTTGAAATCACTGCAGGGCAGTCTACTGCTAACAGCTGATTAGAATCTGGCATGTTGAAATTACAAAACTGAGTTAAAACCTTCAAGCCAGGGCTCTTCAGCTGAGTTTACTCTAGGGCCAGAATTTTGAAAATGGGGATTGTCTTAGGGCCAGATGCTTGAGCCCAAGCATAGAAAGCTCCCTAATACAGTACACTTAGCTCCCTGTGTGGGTTCCAGGGCCTCAATGGGGAAAAACAAAGAACCACTGTCTACCCAAAAGCATGTCGTAATAGTTGACTAAATGGGAGCTTCCTTCGAAGTCGGAGTACGTTTGTCTGAGAGGCAAGGAACCAACTGTCTGCATATATTTATAATATGTCTGGTAACTTGTTTTTATGACTATATATGTAAATCCAGATTTTCTAACTGCATGTGTACCATATTGTCCATTCACAAAATGAAATGTCTTATGTTCCGTGTGCAGATCCTGGGAGCAAATGATAAAAATGGATCTGGAGAGAACAATCCTTTCAGCCACTCTGGTGATGAACGCAAAGCTGTCATTTCTGGATCTCCTGAGGCTCAGTGGAAGGTATTTATGGTTTTGTGTGATGTTTCAATGGAAAGTGAATTTTTTTTTCTGCCGTCTTTTCCTCCCAGTGTTGCATAGGCCAAGTTATGCTCTCATTTGCTGTTGCATGTAGCTTACCAGATTTTTTCTCTTCTCTTATTACTTTCCCTGGTTTTTTAGGGGAGGGGGTTCAGTTCTATCTACCTTTATTAATTAGTTACTGGTTTCATTTAAACATTATTTATTAATTTTTGAAAAACTCTTGAAGGGAGGGTGCAACAAACCACTTTTTATCATAATTAATTGTAACAAAGCATACATGGAAAGGGAAGGACGTAGAGCACGAGGTAGACCAAGAACAAGATGGAAGGATAACATCAGAGAAACTCTACAACAGCACGATCGATGTTCCTATGGTCGAGGCAGCCAGAAGAGCTAGAAACAGAACCTTATATCTCCCTCGACACCCACAGCGGTAAAAGAGGAAGTGAAGAAGAAGAAGAACCATTATACATTTTTCTATTTATGGCTTGGTCATTATTCACGTTTTCCAGTCAACCTATTATGTGTTTTCACATCTTATATTTAGTGAGGGACTCTGAAGAACTGTATAAAATATTTTTTTCCGGCAAGGATTTGTATATATGACCCCTCTGGATTTACTATACCCGCATTTTTTGTGTGTGATAAATTTGTATAAATGCATTTATTGAGTTAAATTTTTCTGTTTACATTTGTTGGTGTGTGTACTTTGTATTGTTTTAGTTAAAAATACACATTTCCTTGTTTGTTCATATTGATGATATTGTGTGTATATGTGCACTATTACAAAATAAAGATAATTTAAATTCATAAAATTCTATATAGTTTGTAGACTGCTAATATTAGAAATGATGGTTAGAATATAGATTGTTGGGAGGGGGGAGGAATAGAAGTTAAATGTCATGAGTTTATTTAGTACGGCCATTCATAAATCCCTCAAACAATAGATCTTTTGAATGCGTTAAACATGCTGAACTGTTGCAAAGTTTGTCACTGTGTGAAAAGGGCAGTGGTATATTAATGTAGGTGGTGGTGATAGTTTGTTGTTGTCAGATTACAGATGTGGGCATTCTTTGTTAAAAGATTGTGGGTGGTGTACTTTTGTAAGATTGATGATGGTGGTATTTTGTTGTTGCCAGGCTCAGTTCTTCATTTTTGAGAAGGTGAAGAATGAACTTCGACTCGCTGCCCATGATGAAGTTCACCTTAGAACAGAGATTATGGTGCCCAAGCAGAGCATTGGCCGGATCATTGGCAAAGGTGGTCAGAATGTAAGTATTTGTCAAGTTTGGGCTGGATTGTACTACTCTGTGATGAGTGTATCTCGTATGTGTGTGTGCGAGCATTTCTCTCTCTCTCTCTCTCTCTCTCTCTCTCTCTCTCTCTCTCTCTCTCTCCTCCCCCCCCCCCACTTACAGTAATTTTTACAGCCAGTGCAAGTTGTGATAAGGCAGTTTTAGTTGTTTTGTGATGTTCTTCTTAGCGTTCACTGTCTGTTACTGTGGCGGGTAACTTCGCTTTAACTAGCGAATGCACTATGTGCAATTCACAGAGGGAATTACAAACAGTAAATCTTAATAGGGGTTTTTATTACCCCCAGCCTTGCTGGTTAAATTAGAGGATTTGGGGTTTTGCCCACATCTTATTCCCTACTGTAATTAATTGTATATTTAAATGTATTTAAATTACACTAGCTTTTTGTTCACTGACACAATTACAGTTAAAATGAAACTTCAGAAAACTGTAAGAACATTAAAACTACATTTATTTTTGAAATTCAAATGATAACTAAATAAAATGGCTGTGGATATAAAATCCTGTTATTCAAGGTAGGTTAGTTAAATCTTAGCTGTAGCTTAGGTGAGCTTCTGGACTAAGCCTCGGTGACACATCAGGCAGGTCCGAATCTTCCAGTCCAGTCCGGACAATCGGGTATCTGCAGCTAAGCTTAGGATCTACTTCTGGACTACCATCTGGAATACAATCTGGAACTAGAACAATAGAACAGTCCTTATACAAACAGTCAGGAAGGTTCTAACTGGAGACAACAATACCTCCAGTCTTTAAACTGTTACACTACACACATATATATGGAGTAGGATAGTAACAGGTGTTCACATTCTACTAGTATAGAATGGGAATGTGTAAAGAACATGGTCCATAATCCTGATGGGGAAATATTTAGGAAACCAGTTTCATGAAAGCTCTCAAGAACAAGAGTTTACATCACACAAAAAGAAAGGACATTCCTCAGTGTAAATTGTTCTGATGTCTGCACACTAGTACTCCTTTAAAGGGTTAACATGCTTACACATACAGACATACAGTCATATTTCACAATATTCTCATTTTAACCACATGGGTTCACATTACAATGAATGAGAAGCAGGGAGTGAGTTTACCAAGACCAGGAACTCATAACAGGTGCTTTGCACTGTTTGAAAATAAATGGGATTGACATATCTCCATCAATATACTGGATAGATGTCAAAATACAATCATAGATGACAATGGGCTTTCCATCTGTCACAGTATTAACATAAAATATACCACACTCACTCCAGTTTAAATCTAAATCCACACATGTGCTAATCTTATTCAGCAGAGTTTAGAAGTGGTGAGGGGTGAAATATAATTATTACATTTGTAAGGCCACCTGCTGTAGAACTGAAATGTATTCCTAGTAATAGGGAAATATATCTACAACAATAATAATTACAAGCATGGGCCATACATCTTTCTTCTTCTTTTCTGACAGTGTGAATATTAAATTCAGCCTCACTGTGTTATTCACTTTCCAAGCTTTTAAACTAGTCTCAGACTTATCTGGACTAAATCTAAATTAAAGTAAGACAGTGATTTATTAAGCTAATATCACCATGAGGTAAAATCAACTTAGAAGGGATTAGGTATAATGAATATACACTTCATTCCTATTTTTAATTGTCTAAGCTGGAAACAGGAACTGGCTGAGATTTCACATGAGGACATAATTATCACTTAATTAATATAAGTATAATTATTAAAAATACCAATGCACGTTTCTGGTAGCAAATAAACATTAATTCAATCATCAAATAGGTAATATGTTTGCATACATGTACATACTAGATCATAAACGTGGTTAGTGAGGATAAAGAAATTTATCATAGTTTTTAAGCCATGTGGGGCATCAAATTTCAGAATTTAACCTGTGGAATTAATTCAGAGGAATAAGCAGCAATACATCAAATTAAACTTATTCTTTTAACTCACCCCTGGCAGGGAATTCAAACAGAAAATTATACCACAGTCTGACTACTAAAACTTTAGTCTGAACCGGTCAATTTCTGAATGAAAAAGGGAAGTCTTACCAAGGGGGAAGTTACTCTTTGTTACCCCTTGCACTACTCTTCGCCTTTATTACCTTTCAACTCTTTAATTATAATTTTGCTACAATGAAGCATTAGGAAAGGGGTAAGAAATTTCTTAATTAATCCAGTGTTATTATGCTAATTAAAAGCAATAGGAAAATGTTTAGAACTTTGATAATAATATTATCTAAACAAAGCAATCTTTAAAAGGACAGAAACAGCTGTCCAGACCAGCTCGTCACATATGCCCAACGAAGATAAGTTTGATATTTACATATCAAACTTAAACTGGCCTGGATACTGTTTCTGCTACCTACAATCCACCTGCTAAATTATCCCCTAATTAATCTGCTATGGGATCTCAATAGGAACAAAAAATTTCTCCTTAACACTGACTGGGATTTGTAGCCCCGTCCCAGCGGATATGACCGACTGCGACTAACATACCAAAGTCTTTTCCCAGAGAAAGTCAAGGCGGACTGTCCGCTTCTCTGAATAGAAACAATCTTAACAAAGAAAAGATGGCATGAAGGAAAGATCAGTTCAATGTTCAAAATACCTGTCTGAGTGCGTCTTATCCATGAAAACTATCTGGGGAGGATTTACATGGAAGAAAAGGTAAGCGCTGCTTACGACAGTGTACAGACCCTACGGTCTCAACCGTAGACTGGGTCTTGTGGGTTTCATCTGAAGATGAAGTAAAGGAAGGGTTCTTCCTCCTCTTGGCTGCACTGGCACAGACTGAAGTTTCTGGCCTGGTTGCAGAGGATTTGGCATAAGCCTTACCAGCTTTATGGTTGGGATCATTAATGTTCCTAACTAAACTGGCAAAAGACCTGAGCTTAAGGAGTTTACTCTTTAAGGGGTTCTCAGTAGACCTAGTGAGCTTTTTAGCAGTCTGCCTAGCTATCGGTCTAGTATTGGTGAAACACACAACTCTTTTCAGAAGAGGTGTCCACAAATGCTTTGGTTGGCTCATCTTGGATTGGACCAAGATGCGAGACTTTTGGTCTCTCATGACCTGCTTATTTGCAGTCGTTGGGTTGTCAAAGTTGTGCTTGCACTTGGTTCTGAGGGGACACAACAACATACCTTGAGACCTCAAGGACTTATCTAAGGCCTGAGACTCTTTTTCCCTAACTTGTAAGCAGGACTGAGATGCATTTTTGCTTCTCTCAGTAAACTCTAGGATATCACTCGACTTACTGGAAAAATCTATGTCTTTAACTAACACATGACTTTCTACTGACTGCGTGTGAGAATAAGTAGTGGGAGCATGGACATAAACAGACTCCGCTTTACAAGATACTATCTGCAGCGTGGAGCTGAAGTCTTCTGTCTCGCCACCTACCTTCTTCAAAGTTTCCTTGCTGTGCAAGCTTCTAGATACAATAATATTATCTAAAATGGGGTTGGTTTTGGGAATAACACTTTTTATTTCTGCCAAGGAATGACCATCTTGACAGAAATCACCACCCTGAGTTAACTCAAGTTTTGTGGTAGCTAGCCCACTAGTGGTCACTGCAGTTGCAGGCTCACTAGTTTTGATCTCTTGACAGCTGCCAAGGATCTCACATTCTCTACCAGGGTTTTCATTTCCAGATTCTGGTGGGGTAAGGGATCTGTCTTCAATTACTGATCCTAAGTGACTGATACTAGTATTTGACAAGGCATTTTTGGCTGACATGGAAGTGTCTGGCTTTTTGGTTGTGAACATCCATAATTCTCGGGAAGGCTCACCAGCAAAAGCTTTCTGGTTCCACTGAGCATGTTCAACCGCTTTGTTGAAACCTTTAGATTGTGCCTGCTGTTCCATTTGGACACATTCCAGTTGCCACTCCCAATCTTCCTTAACCTTCTCTGCAACACACTCTAGAAGTTTAATACCTGTGAATTTGCAAGCCTGACCCATTTCTATACTTCTAAAAAACCAATCTATAGAATCTACTTCCCTCCCTTGGACACCTACATTAGCTTCTAGTTGAGATTTGGCATTCAACAAATCAGAGACATACATATCTAGCTCAATCCCACTCAAACCTGCCTCATGAGCAGCAAAGTCTGAGATGGTCTTGCCCAATAGATAATTATTTGCTGCCATCTCGGTTAAGCTGTAGTGACCCTTACAAGAAGTTTGCAAATTATCACCTATGATTGCTGCTGAAATTATAGAGTACTAGACAAGACTCAGAGAATTAGGTCAACAGTGGGTTAGTAAGCAAATCACATATGCATCAATCAAATAATCAATCACAGAATCAAAAAAATAGCAATGCAATTGTCAATCCATTTTACCAAATCCTTAACCTTATGGGCAACCATTAATTTTGGGATTTAAAATTGTCCTAGCCAATTATATATTTTGATTTCCTAAAGTCAGTGAACATTTAAACTATTTGTAAATTTCAGTTACATAATTACCCAAGTTAATTTTTGCTAACTTTAACAGGCAAACTAGTAACTAATGACTCTGAGCCCCCAGTGTTCTTTAAGTATATGCCATAAAATAAATCAAAGATGGCTAAACACTTGAACACAAAATATAAAAAAAATATGCGGTTGTCTAGAGGTAAACCAGGAACAATATCAAGACAAGAAAACATATATAATGTAGATTTCAGTCCTATTATTCACTTTGTGGTGTTAGGTTATAAACCCGGAGAACGCCTCACTTTGTGAGTGAGGTGACAAGTTCCGAGACGAGAATCACACTTTGTGAGTGGGTTCTATGCCGGGACGAGATCCCCAATCTGTGGCGGGTAACTTCGCTTTAACTAGCGAATGCACTATGTGCAATTCACAGAGGGAATTACAAACAGTAAATCTTAATAGGGGTTTTTATTACCCCCAGCCTTGCTGGTTAAATTAGAGGATTTGGGGTTTGCCCACATCTTATTCCCTACTGTAATTAATTGTAG